TGACGAGCGAATGCTTTAACCACTAGGCTACCCAACTGCCCCCAGGACACCAGAAATGGTTTCACATATTATACCCTATGAAGTCAAACCAGGGTATTCAAATGATGAGTGACTGCTCCTAACACCATGCTAGTCCATTGTCCCCATATGATTGATGACAGGTAAATATTTTCTATGTAAGTAACATAAGAGTCTGATATCCTGTTTCACATTAAAGGATTCAGTTGATAAAGACAGAACCAGGCTACAGATGAGAGGTACTGGAAGGGACAAGTCCAGAAAAATGTCTGTTTAATCTATCTATCCCCATCACTCATGCACGCACACCTCTATCCACTATCATAAGACACAGTATCTACACTACGCCATAGGAGTCCCCCCCGACCCTACCCCTCCCAATCAGCCTGGTATCGGGTTTCCCGTATTCCGCCCAAGATCTCCCTGAGGACTGACGTGGGGGATTACCGCCATGTACGTGAGACTCATATCATATTTATGGTACTTACGCATATCACGTAAACCTATGTCTCTACTGACATACTTCACGATATGGAATCGACAACACAGAAGCTAAGTTGGGAGAGGTGGAAGACTGAAGTGTCAGACATGTCGTTTGTTAAGACTCATGTGTGTGTGGGTTATTACAGAATGAAACATTGCACCATGGCACAAATATTTAGGGTGTTAATTTATAAAACACTTTCAGAAATATTCAAGCAATATCATGGCTTTTGTACAATGGGTTTTAAAAAACTACCAATTTGGAGTGAGTGAGTGAGTGAGTGAGTGAGTGAGTGAGTGAGTGAGGTTGTTTAACATGGCTTTGAACAGTGTGTCCATTATGTCACACCGTGTCAACTTGATGTTAGAAGAAAGCCCCAATTGATGCCAGTCTCGGACATTTACCATTTCATAGGTTTCTGGCACACCTAAGGGATGCAACTCTGCAACAAAGGGTGGTGCCTGAGCTACTGTCCAATAGGCAGGCACACCACTCATGACACATGTTGCACAGAATGAAATTGATAACACAATAACATGAAATTGAGTAACATACAAAATGTTCATGCACATGAAATTGAGCAGCAAATATTGGTAAGTATGAATTGAATGACAAACTTAATGTGTATAACCAAGGACTTTAACATAGACACTATCGATTAACAGTGTACAGGCTGTTTAGAATGAAAATGAGTAGCTGCAGTCAATGTTTGAAATAAAACAATTGCCACTCTGGCTTCAGGACCCACAGACTTTAGAAGCTGCAGGCCCTGACTAAACTCTTCAGGCCCTAAATAAAAACAGTGCATCTTATTGTAACAAATAAACCAACACCTAACTTTACTGCAGGCCATAAGTACCCATACAACTTTGAAACTACGGGCCTAAGATGAGATCTACGTGCCACGGACCTACGGACAGGTGCTTATCTTGAGCAATGTCTGCAGTTATGGCTTGTAAAAGGTAATTCCTGGTTTGTTGTTACCTAAAGTTTACCCAACACTGATATATTTCTGTTTCTGATATAAGTCAGTTTTGGAAAAAGTCAAAATGAGCAATAATATCCTACTCAATTCCTGATAAGGACACCATGAAAGCTCACATACTAACAAAAATTGGGAGACAACAACATATATAAATGTCTACTTTTGTTCATTATGAATGAAGCTTAACCTGTGTCAGGTGAAACCTAAATCGTACCCTCAAACAACCTGATTTCTCCCCCCACCTGAACACTCGGAATATCCCTATCAACAGTTGAGCAGTATAAGTTTCAACTGTCCTTAGTTTGAAACTGAATAATACTTGCAACCATCTTAATTCAGTCAAACAGACGACCCATGAAGATGCATGTCATTGTATCCCAATGGCGTGGATCGATGCTGATGATGTCTATCACTGGATTGTCCAGACTCGACATAGAGCTGGAATATTGCGGCGTTAAACAACAAACAAAACAAAAAACAAACAGCTAAACAGACCAAGGAAAGATGGTAAACATATTTACACAAAATGATACAGCTACTGTATTGATATCAAGCAATCAGCATCCATTACAGCAACACTACTGGCAGCCTCCCATGTGGAATCCTGATGATGAATAACAGTTCATGATGGCATGTCTCATCCCAACATTAAGAGATACTTATTCTCATGATGAAACCTTTGATCTAGGCAGCCAAACATGGACGCTCATAACTGTCCAGCTCGGTAATTGATATTCTGGCACCCTGTCTGAAACTAGATCTGCCCACTGGCATGACATATGTGCCTGTGTTGTGCCCATGCTGTGTCCGTGTTGTGTCCAGAAAGATATATTGTGTATCACACTCTATCTAATCCCCCTGTATGTTCAACCTCCTTAACAGTAAACAACATGTAAACAATTTTGCATAAACATTTGTCCCTTTGGCAAAATCCTCCATTATGTTTGAGATCTTGATCAGTTGATCAGTTTCAGTTCAAACATTTTTATGTAATTCATTTTCTTTTTGTAATTTTCTACTTTAAAATACAAACATTGTTTGGTGATTTGGTAATTTCAGTGATCCATTCATAATTATTTTGCCACTATTTTGCATGTTATGCCCAATGGAGGTTTTCAGGCGGATGATCGAGATTGTTTTTTCTCTGGCGTTGTTACGTTGTATTTAAATGGATTTTTCATATTTATTATATTATTATTTAGGGACGTTTTTAGGAATATTGTATTCAGACCCATACCTTGTGACTGAACAGTGGAAACAAGGATTTAAACAATGTTCACAAACTGAAATCGGTGAAACGATAACAGCTTGTAAAATCAGTCACCAGTTTGACAAAGCGTGTCTTTTTTGGCAGTGGTATCGTCTATATCAAATAGCCTAGAGCTATATGACCTACAAATAATGTTGTTTATATCAAAACATGGCGTGAGAAACGCAACTGACCTCAAAGGGGTCAAGCTCGGCCACCAAGTGGACATATGTTGACACAGGACACAGAATAAAAGACCTGTTTAATGAATCTCGGTGGACAATGATGACATGTAAACACACTTTCTTTATACTTGTCAATTACAGACGACAGTCTATACATGGCCCTCGTGACCATATGTCACACGTTGTTTACATTGCCTTGGGTCATAGAATTATTGTATATTGTTGACGACAAGTAACAAAGGCGAAAACAGATTTGTCCTTTCCAAATGATATTGACGTGTGTTATTCCCTCATAGTGACAACAACAAACTGATTGATGGATTTCACTGAGTTGAAATATTAATATGTTATTCTTATTCTTTTAGCAATATTCCAGCAATATCACAGCGGGCGACACCAGAAATGGGCTTCACACATTGTACCCATGTTGGGAATCGAACCCGGGTCTTCGGCATGACAAACGAACGCTTTAACCACTAGGCTAGCCGACCGCCCCTTGATCATAATGAAGAGGTTGATAAGATACGACTTTATTAATTAACATGAATAGTGGACTGCCAAACAGATTATGTCTATATGAATGCCTCGTCGCTTAACAAATATCAACTTCTTTATTGAAGTCACATGTAATTGAAACAGATGTCCAATTAAAACAAACAAATCGTGGTTCCTGCTTCATTTTTAAATTTAAATTTATGTCATCATTACTTAAATAGTAACCTCAACGAGCTCTTCAACAAAATCACTTTTGCAACTCTGCAAATACATGAGCTACAAAGGAATGTAAAGATGGTCATTAAAATACATATCTTTGTTAAGTTTGAGAAATTTGAAACCATGAAATATGAGTATAATTGTACAAAAAATAGCTTCTTGCACATACATAATGGCTACGGAGGTAGAGGGTGTTAAATCATTGTCAGAGACTATATTATCCTACAGAAGGAGAAAATGAGTTTTGTCCCTATGTGCAGTCATAAGGAAAGCTATGTCGTAAACTCTCCTAACATACAACAAGTAGAATTAGCCACATGATAAGTGTTTCTGACAGATGAAGGATGGTCAACACACACACACACACACACACACACACACACACACACACACACACACACACACACACACACACACACACACACACAACACACACACAACACACACGCACGCACACGCACACGCACGCACACACACACACACACACACACACACACACACACACACACACAACACACACACACAACACACACACACACAACACACACGCACGCACACGCACACACACACACACACACACACACACACACACAATGAAATCTTGACACATACCAGCAGTTGATAGTTATGGAGATCCCTACATTTGGGTGACACTGTCCTACATTACCACAGCATGGGACAGGGAACTGGTAGTCCCCGGAATCACAGTGGATGTTCTGGGTAAGATTATCGTGTCATGTTATTGTTATTTGTGCAAGACTTTCAGGTTTAAAGTTTCATCGGGAGTGAGTGAGTTGGTTTTCAAACACTTTGAATAATATTCCAGTTATCTCGCAGTTTAATGTGTGAGGAAAACCCAAAGTGATACGGTCTCGGATGTTTACCACTTTGTTGAAACCCCCAGGCACAGGAATGCTGCTGACAGACCTAGAACGTAATTTAGGCAAACCGGGATTCAAACCCACAATCATGGGTTACTGCGTGCCCAAGGGACATAACTCTGCACAGTGACTGTGCCCCTATTTCATCTAGAAGTGATAAATATTGTATGTATATATAATTACATCATCCTACATTCGGATTTCAAAGTGCATCAAGGAAAATAATAAATTTCATGATTATGATCCTTACATCCTAATAGATTAAAGGGCATTTAATTAAAAACAACCCAATAAAATAATTCATTAATTTAAACAGGATCTTTTTCAAACTTTGACAACCATCATTCTCAAAGATAACAGAAATCACTTCAAAATATTTCAAAATGAGCTAAATTAATTTCATGTGCACTGTCTGTGTATCATTGTTTGTTCATACAAGTTGAATGTTTACGATAGTTTACGGAGTGTATATCAAATTCCACAGGGCTGCGTTACCTGAGATGACCCGAGAAAATGAACTTGTTCAGAGACCTGATAAAGCTCACCTGATCAGTGAAGCGTGGAGATAACGACTCTCCCCCAACAGGTAATACAGGACTGTACAAGAGGTACCGGTCTATCAGATTGTTTCGCGACAGGAGGTACGCCGAGATAGCATCATACTTCAAGTAATCCAAATCATTTCGATAAATGGTATTTATGTCATACTTTTCAAACTGAAATATGGAGGATGGATGTTAAATGATTGGGTCAGGAGAACATTGTTTGCTTGTTGGAATGTTTTGTTGTCTGATTTGTTTGTTGTCATCTTGGTTCGTTTGTGTTTGTTTAAAGCTGCTCTCAGCAATTTTCCAGCTATCTGAGTGTGGCCTTTAACTAATAAGTCTGAACCAGCGATTGATATTATGAGCATCATGCTATCGGTAACCAAGCCTGACCACTGATCCATTGTGTATAGGAAGCTGGGAACCTATTGTAATTCAGAGTCTCCACAGGAAGAGTAAACTCCAACAAGTATTCATCTTATGAGTGAGTGTGTTGATGATCCCGCCTCCAAGAATTAACTTCACACCATTTCTGAAATCGAACTTGGTCTTAGATGCGACAAACCAAGGTGTTAACCAAAAGGCCACTCATTCACTGATAATATAGTAAGTGAGTGAGTTGGGTTTAACGCCACTTTTAACAGTATTCCAGTTATATCGAGGCGTGTCAGCTTAATGTGGGAGGAAAGCCCGAAGTGATGCAGGTCTCAGACGTTTACCACTTCGATGAAACCCACGGGCACGGGTATGGTACTGAAAAACCTAGAAACATAATCGGGGCGAACGGGGATTCGAACCCACAATCATAGGTTTCTGGCGTGCCAAAGGGACGCAACTCTGCACAGCGAATCACGGCGCCTTAGACGACTGGGACACCCGTGCCCCCTCATTGATAATATAACCATATTATCAGAAATATCAGACATCGATCAACAGAATGACACAAAAAATGTCATCTGTTACGTCAATGTTATTGTTTTAGTTCTTTTCACATATGATAGAAACACTGAACACTAGATTCATGAAATTGACATGACAGCTGGCAGACAATCAGCTGTCAGATCAGTTTCAGATCGGATAGGTGTTAATGTCAGGCTGGTACAAGATTATCAAAGTAACAGCATTAATTTGGGAAATTCAACAAGAACATTTACGGATTTATTTGTTCAAATATTGTCACGATCAACAACCAAAAAATTCTATTTGAATGTGATGACAATAAACAGAAGTTGATATTTGTGCAACAGCTGCCACATATTGGATCAAATGTGTCCATAACACATCTCTACTATATTTCACCGAGTGCTGCATTAATCATACACTCCGGTGCTTGTGTCAACAACAGGTTGCTCATGTCACTTGCATGCAGACACGTGATGCCAGCAGCTCCACACACCGACATCAGTGTAGGGAGCACAGGCCGCAGCAGCAACCACGTCTACTTAAATATGTTTGAAAAGCTTAGCACAAACAAAAATCAGCATGTATTGTTAATATACAGCATAAGTAGTGCAAAGGTGCCCAACTCGACATATTTCCCTTAAAAATGTTGTGGCTGCTTGATATTGTTGTTGTCATCATCATCAACATCATCATCACACATCATCGTTAAAATTATTAATTTGAATAATAAAAATATCATCATCATTATTAATATTAATTCAAACAGCAAAAAGGTTATTATATTGCAGTCACATGTAGTCAACAAAATATTTCCCAGTGGCCATCTGAAATTTAAGTTGTTGACATATGTTTAAACCCAAATCAATCTAAAGCATGATGAACCAAATACACTTTGATGAATCCATTGCAATATAAGCTTTGGACATATATAAATATTGCATGTTGATGATTGCATGTTGTTTGCAATCATCCTGCGAACCATGCTGAGATAAACTATTTATATCCTTAATATGGTATAAAGGCAAGGGCTTGGTGCCACTGGAGCAGAAAGTCAGGAACTAATATAAAACCAATTCCTCATCAGTCTGTCATGCAATGGCTGGCACAGTGTTCAGATGTGAAGTGCTCAAAGTGGGAATAGTTTTCCACTTGACCACTGGAACATGAACAATAGACAAAAGTCTACTTTCAAATGGAACTATTGTCACCCTTTAGTTTGTTCCTGAGGGGTTGAGTGAGTGAGTGAGTGAGTGAGTGAGTGAGTGAGTGAGTGAGTGAGTGAGCGAGCGAGTGGGGTGAGTGAGTGAGTGAGTGAGTGAGTGAGTGAGTGAGTGAGTGTGTTGGTGGGTGGGTGGGTGGGTTGGTGGGTGAGTGAGTGAGGGAGTGAGGGAGTGAGTGAGTGACAGAGTGAGTGACCGAGTGAGTGACCGAGTGAGTGACCGAGTGAGTGACCGAGAGTGTGACTATGATGTCAGACCACTGTTCCACCACTGTTCCAGCAATATGGCAGAGGTCACTAGGAAATGGTTTCACCTATATGGCAATGAAACCCAGACCTTTTTTCTGATCAATGAACATTTCAATCATTTTAATCACCATCCCTGGGGTATGAAGGATTGACTTCAAATGTTGCACCTGTGATGGGAAGCAGCCCCTGGACCAATGTGCACTGAGAAGACCTAGTATAGAAGAGGTCCCCAGCATCTTACTGCTGATCAGAGGAGACGACTTAACTGGACCAAGTGTGACTATGACTTGGCTGTTTGTATGTCTGGTCCAGACTTGATTATTTACAACCCAAAATATAGTATAGAGTATTGCTGACTGTGCCATAAACAAACAAACAAACAAAACAGACAAACAAACAAACAAGAAGAAAATCAGCCTAACTTGTTGATTGGCATTCTAGAAGTTGATGAGTAAGTAAGATGCTAGATGCAATAAACAAGAAGTTGTTATCCATAAAGTTGTACGTTTTCTTATAAACTTCTGCCTTCACTTTCAGGACAACCCCACTGCCAAGTTTGTAAGTGAATGATACTACACTATTTTTTGCAATATGTCAGCAACATCATGATTGTGAGGGGGACCCCAGGAATGAACTTCACACACAGTACCCATGTGGGACAAGTCCTTCGACTCCACAAATTTGTGAGTACCAGTATGTTAAAATACTCCGCTTTTAGCACTATATCAGCCATACAGAATGAGTTGGTTGGTTTGTTGTTTAACGCCGCACTCAGCAATATTCCAGCTATATGACGGCGGTCTGTAAATAATCGAGTCGGGACCAGACAATCCAGTGATTAATATCATGAGCATCGATCCACACAATCGGAATACACAATGAGTTTCACACATGTACCCATGTTGGGATTCAAACCCATAGCTGTGGCCTGATGGGCAAATGCTTTAACCACTAGGCCATCCCACCAAATTTGTGTTACAGGTCAGGATAAAAGTATTGTATTCCTTATATCTCATTTCCATTGCAAACCATGAATATTACAACAGTAAAATTATGCATTGACACGTTGAGGAAAAATCAATATATTGTGATGAGAAAGTAAAAAAAAATAGATGCATGCAATACCAGTTGTTGCTAAACAACCCACACAGTTAACATCTGCTGCACTAATCGATATCGACGTCCAAATCGTGCATGCATCGCTCTTTGAAATGTACAGCTACTTCATAACAGCGACATGTCATCAGCTGGCTTCATGAAATGAAATATGTATTTTATCAGGAGGGAAGGCACTGAATGTTGTCGAAGAATTGTTTTGAAATATGCATCTCCAAATGAAGTCGAGAATAAAGATTTGACTACATATGGTAAATGGTGTTTCAAATAAATACTAAACTGGAAGATCTGGGGGAAAAAATTAGCATGATGAAATATACATCAGTTGTCTGAAAACAATGACAGATGTGTATTTCATGTCAGTCTGCCCATAGCTCGCATACAATACCTGACTATAAACAGGTGCACTGATGAGTAAGGCTATATCTCTATAACCGTATTCGATATAATAAGCACCCAGGGCGCTCTCAAAAATAGAAATAGGGGGCTCTTCTTGGTTTATGCTGACAGCCCGAAATGATACAAAAGAAAAGTATGTGCGTATTATTCTCGACAGATATATTTTCCAGAATTTAATTGCCCATAACTAAGGGTGCATATATCACACGAGTGTGTATTATACGAGAATAAATAAGTCTTGAGTACATTGATCAATCAGAAGGGGTGCTAATTGGGATTGTTCACTAGCCAATATATTAGCAAATATCACCGTGGGCGCTTATTACGGTAATTAACAAAACAAAAATGTTAAATTTTAGGATTTTTGGGACATATTACATTGTGTTGTTTGAGTATGGGGAACAAAACCTCCAGGTTATCGAGTGAAAAAGACATTAAAATGATCAAACCAGAAACTGATTGATGCCATTAAAGGATAGAGTAACAAAATAAATACAGATGGTCAAAAACAAAAAGGATTTATGCATGAATCTCAAACAATGTGGTCTCTAAAACAGAAAAGTATTGCACTGGTTAAATGATATGTCAGTACTCCATGAAGCCAAATATAGCAATATACTCAAACCATACTGACATGTATCATGCAATCTACAAGTGCCAATCAACCTCGGGAATGAAATATACAACAAAGCATCAATATAACACTGGCAGAATCCCAAACACAACAAAGAATAATGGCTTCCGAATATAAAACCATCAACCATGCATTTATTATGATACATTCTGTGTATATTAATTTTCACCAGTTCTCCAACTAATTTGTATTCCATTTCATTGATTTTGTGACAGTTCGGAATTAACTGATGTCAGCTGACCTACATCCATACTGATGAATTTGTGGACAGTTTTATTAACATTCCTGACACGTGGAAAAGGTCATTTGTTTCCTATGAGTACTGCTTCAGGTATTTACAATTTTGTTCAAACTTTGAAATGTCCAAATTTGGGTTCAGGGCTGTAGAAATTAAGGGTAAGGTGATACCAATTGTGTGTGCATCACTCAAGGAAGGATTTAACAGATTACAATGATTAAAAAATCAATGATACTATTTGAAAAACAACTTGAAAAAATACTTTTGAGTGTATATGCAAATAAAAGGATTTTTTCTCCCGATTCAAACAAATACACACATGTATTACTTTGAAAAATATTTTGTTGAAAGTTTACAAATTATGTAGAAATGAGGTTAAAGAAACTCTAAGACACTGATGACATGATCGATGTGTGTTCATCCACTTCAATACAGGGTTTCACACATGGCAGTGATTTACACAATGGCTCACCCATTCAAAAGAAGAGGTGATATATTATCTTAACCCGAAACAGGTGTGAGTGAAATGTACGAGACAATGCTGCGATTGACAGCTGTCGAAACAAGAACCAAATACTCAAAATTTCAACCCGTCGAAAAAATGGCCCATGTTTGCTCTTTACCTTTAATGAATGCTATTGGTTGAAGGAAATGAATTTTATCACATTCATCATGTTTTTCACACAACTACTTATGGTCTTTGATACGGAGCTATAAATACAGATCCACAGTGAGAAGGCATTCACTTGCAATTTTTCGCTCATGATAATGGTTGTGGGTGACAATGATGGCTGTTTTCTGATCGAACAGGATGATTCGTTCTGGGGTATTTGTCACACATACTATGTCTGGTATTTTTTACAATGTGCTTAAAGTGGATTTGGATCTTCTGACCAATACTTGGGATATTTCTTGTGACTTGACTGCTTTACAAACATTGTTCACCCTTTTCAAAACTGGTTGTCATTATTTAGGAATATTGGAACTGTGATAAAACATTTGATGTCATTTTCCAAAATGTGCTGATTCAGCGTTTCGCAATAATCATTCACAAGAAATGGCAAACAAATGATCTGGTTCCTCTATTAGAGTTGACTTTTCTAATCAACTTTTGAGGATTTATTGAAAGAAATTACTTGCCATCGAAACTGTATGATAATACACAACAAGATTTGTAGCGCCATGCTCTGGAGTCTACATTTCACAACTTGTGAGGTACAATCAAGCATACTCTTTCTACAATGATTTCAAAGAGGGCCATAGGACTCTTGATCAAAAGTTGTTTGATCAAGATTACCACATTCCAGTCCTCAGCAAAGCTTTTAAAACGTTTTACTGAAGACATGTGGAGGACATTTCCAAATTTGATGCATCAGTGACAAAAATGATTTTCAATACAATTCCCTATTTTGAATTGTATCATATGTTCCTGTAGTTTTTTCAGGTGAATAATTGACTTGCCTTTGCATGTGTTTGTGATGGTGCCACCGGTGGGGCAGGATATGCTAGACTTTTCGCAAACACTTGGTATCATCACTATTTGACTGTGATTCATAAACAAGACGCTTTTGATATTCGGAATTGTGCAATGGAATCTGCCTTTAGCAGAGATTTGTTATGATAATGTAAGTTTTATCACTTTTATTTCAAGTTTTAGTTATCGGATAATGTTTTGAGATTCTATTTGAACCCCATCAAACAAACAAAATTTAACTTGTGACATTAAACAAAGACATATTTCCACATGCATAATTCCTCAATGTTTATGAATATTGCTCAAATAATCGTAAAATTCAAATTCGCCCAAACCCTTCTTTCCTACATACAAAGCCTCATACCATTATTGTCATGAAACGTTTTAAAGCTTTTAGGGAATAGACAAATAGAAACTGAAACACAATTTCAAATATAAGTCATTGCCAAGACTGTGACATAAATCTCATCTGTATCATTAAATCTAGCTATTGATGTCTTTCAGTCACCGCTGATCAATCACCTGTTTTCAATGGTCATTTTGTAACCATTTCATCCTAGCTGACCACACACAATGTATGTCCTCTCATTATGAAGCCACTTAACACCCCTGCCAAGATAGTGACCATTAATAGCAGCAATGACATGCACAATTACCTGATCTCAGAAGGTGTGGTCCATTCAGTGACAACAGATTGACAGGTTACATAACACTCTCGTGAAATTGACAAGTCTGAAATAGGGGTTTAAATAAGGAAGGAAAATATCTGCCTAAGGGTAGTAACTAATTTCTGACAAAAACAATTAATGGACCAATATTAATCTGTATTAATTACATATCTTTTGAATCAGCGAATACATACACAAAGCAACCATGTCTTGCAAAAACATACACGGATCCTTTCAAACTTGCATCATCATGTGTTTTTCTTCCTTGTTTAAATATCATGATCTTGTTGAACAAATGTCATATTCTCAGTTTAAAAAATTGTTGTGTTAAATATCAGGTGCATACTTTAACAATGAAAGAAACGGTATTTTTGTGAAAACATGTTTGCACCTGTGGTGAAAAATCTACACCATGGGAGCCAGGAGTCTCACTTCAGTCTTGGGCCAATGTGTTGACAATGTGTTTGTGATATTTAGATTAGCCAATATTACAAACATGCAGCTTGTTCAAGTTGTTTTGAAGTTTAACACTTAAATAAATGACATACTGCATGAAATTTGCTGGTAGTGTTGAAAAACTAGTTTAAGCATATATGTTGTTCAACATGACAAGAGCGAAACCAGGGCTATGTCAGTTACTTTCTGTCAGTTACTTAAAGCTATTTCCTTATGTTATTATTTTCTTTCTCCCCTCCAGAGAAACATTTGCAGAAACTGACAAATACATATGGAGTGAAATATACTACTCAAAAGAAATTCAGGAACACCCAAAACAGTTAATCTCTCTGGCCATCAGGGGTTCTTCAACTTCTTGTTTTGAGTATATATGCACAAATATATGAATCACTTTAAAATATGACAAATATGTCTCATAATATTTTGAGGGTAGAGATTTAAAAAATGATTCATAAAAATATAAAAAAAATGACTCACAAACATACATATTTATTATATATAAGTAAAGGTTTTAAAAGGTTTCCTAAAAGGGATCAATGTAAGTACTTAGATGAGTGTTAGATGACAGGAATACCTGCAACAATAACTGAAATGTACAAGGTGTTAATGACAGCAATTTACAAATCATGTACAGCAGTTTACTCAGGTAGAGATACCCTGAAGCTATATAGGTGAGTCAGGAAG